ACGGACACAGTAGCCACCTAGCACCAGGCACAACCTACATCATAACGATTGAAAACTTGCGACTCGACTTTTCCGATTCTCTGAGTCGGGAGCTGTTTTTTCCGGCTCTTGTTCCGGACTCTGCTGGTCTGCTAGTCTGTTTTGGTCGTCTGCCGCACTCCGGTGGACTCTGCTCGATGCGATCCAGGTCAGCACGCAAAAGGCGCCCGCAGTCGCAATGCACGAACTGCGGTGATTTGCGCGAGGCTCACGGGTGCCATGTCGGAGAATTCACACCGGATCGCTTTTTTTGCAGCTATGCGATACGTGATGCAAATGCAAGGAAGAGGGAGCACGCGTAAATCAGCAGGGCTGGACTTCGAACGGCAGGAATGGCATGCCTCTGCACTCAGCTCAGGAAGTGAGCTCGGCTCGTTTTCGCCCGCAGCCCGAGGCAACGTGTCGCACGGAGTCGAAGCACCCACGCGACAACACCTGAGCCAAACACGCTAAACGATGGCGGCAAAATGTTCGTCCGTGCTGCAGAGCTGCGCTGTGCTGAGCTGCAAGCTTTGGCCGCCTGGAGGCCCGGCCGCCGGGCCCTCGTCTTGCGCTCAGCCACCGAAGAGGTACTCCAGCACGTCGATCTGCGCAGCTAAACAGCCGACTTTTCGCAAACTCTTACTCTGCACCCGGGCTCGGAGCCTCTCCTCGAAGAATCTTCGACAATCCTTCGACAGCGTCAGAAGCACGTCTTGTCTCTCTTGGTGCACATTGCGCACGCTGTCTTTCCTGGGCCAGTCTTCTTGGTGAGCAAGAAGAACATCTCCTTGTCCGCGCCATACCTGGCAATTGAGACTGCCGTTGCAACTAGACTCTCGCTGGGTGCAGATATGCTCCGGGATCACTTCTGCACAATTTCTTCCCAGTTCAGCGTATCGTGAAGGTCGTCACCGGTCTGATAATAGTGGTCCTCCGGAGCATCGCGATGGGTGCCACAACATCTCGATGCTGTGAAATGCTGGCCTCCAAGTACAGGAGATACCGCTCGAAGGTTCTCCTTTGGTGGGTGTGCTTGACGTTATCCATGTTCCCATCCAGCTCTGCGACCGCTTCTTGCACAAACCTGAAGCCGACACGGCAAGCAGCCTACCCCTCAAACAACCGAACGAGGCAGAACTAAGCCAGCTTAGCCAGGTGCTTCAGGTGGGTGCGCATAGCTTCGAGCTCAGGAACCCGTTCTGGCCGCACCTGAGGTTTGCAGGCCTGGCATTTCGAAGCATTCCCCGTGCGATGCTGAGAAGTCGACAAACTTGAAGGCAGGATGCGGGAAGTAGGAAACTCGAACAGGATAGGATCCAGGGTTGGTCAGCATCTTGCTGATCTCCTTCCCGGGTCGACACGGACTCATTGCCGATTGCCGATTAGTACAATCGTGACGACTACCCCGCTTGAAATCGCGCCCTACTAACATGCCTGATGCACGCGCGCAAGGTCTCCTGTCTGCACAGGCCCCTTGGCCCTTGGCCATTCTCAGTTCCATAGAGATGTCTGTAAGAGGGCAGCTCAGGACCGCCCCGTTGGAAGCTATTTACTATCTCGTGATGGTCTGGCGCTTTTCCACGCCACGTTCATGCTCGTCTCGACTGCACATCACTTAGGCCAGGCAGAGCGAAGGTCTTTGTGACAGCACTCACGCTTGCAAAAAACATCAGGGAACACTTGGTCTCTGAATCACAGCAAACGTCAGCCGGCTCTCTCCTGCTTGTTGCCCATGGCCTCTGTTCCCCTAGCATCTGTGAACTTCAAGCACCTTCGCGCCAGGCGCCGGTGCAGTGTAGAATCCCAAAAGGAAAGACGCTGAGACAGCGCGGTTCTCCTGTTGTCCAGAGATGGCGGTGGTATGCCAGCAGCGAGCATCTGCCACGAGAGCATCTCTCCGAAGGACTCCTCGGAACTCTCGAGACGAGAGGCGAATAGAGGGTTTAAATCGAGTGCGTAGGAGGTGTCTGCACTTGCTTGAACCGGATGCTATGCTCGCAAAGCCTCAAGGATATCGGCCCAAACTTCCGGGATTTGTGTGTGTCCTTGTCAGAAGCCTGCATCGTGAACTCAAACTGGCCGCTCCTGGGCACTCGTCATACAGGACTTAGCCGGCTCAGTGCGCTCACAAGGACGAGGCATTGTGATGCCCTCCTCGATGCCCTGGCCCCAAGCCTTGCGAACCTCAGCTCGGAAGCGCGCTCAGCGCCCGCACGCGCTCAGCCGCTCTCTCCAATCGCTCGGTGTGCCGCCAGATGGGAAACCTTGCCCTGGGCCGCTGGCCTCCGCAAGCAAAACCATCGAAACTCGTACGCTCAATGTCGCCTATTGAACTGAGGCCTATGCCCAGACTCTAGATCACAAGGCGCGATCCTCTCCTTTGGTAGTCCCTCCTGCAAGGGCCAGACTCAGACTCAGACAATTGTCTGTCCGGCTGACTGTCCACTTAACTCTGCAAGCTCCAAGCTCCTCCAAGCCGAGGGATGCGCGTGACGGCCCTTCCTCTTAGAAAGCGAGTAGTTTCTGTGCAGCCTGCATCTACGACTTGCAAGCTTTCGTACTCTTCTGTGCCTCCTCTGCAGGTGGTGGTGCGAAAGGCCTTGGAATGTTGGAAAGTGCCCCGGAGGCTCCAAAGGGCGTGGGGCATGGAATGAGGCCGAAAAAGCCACTAAGGCCTCGGGCAGCACTCCGTCACGGAGCCGAACCTGAGAGGAAACCCAAATGCGGCGTGCACTGGCCGCACGTGGCGGCCACTTTCCCGCCTCCGCACAGCGCTGGCTGGCGACGTTGGTGCGGAGCATCGTTCGGAAGTCTGTCCGGAACCTGAGACGAGACGAATCATCGCGAATCCCACGTCCCAACAATGTCAAAACTAAGCACGCAATGCACGCTCGCCGGCCGACGCTAATCAAGGAACCCGACCGGGGCACCCTTTTCTGGCAAATTGCAAACGGTCCGGGCAACTTCGTTGAAACCACGGGTTTAGAAAAGCTTCCAGCAAAGCAAATGAGGAGGGATTCCAAATCAGAGTCCCTTTGTAGTACCAGAAAAAGAAAAGCGCTTGTATGACCAGGGGACCGGGACCCAAGTGACGCTGCACAAGCTGAAGCATGGAGATCTTCGGTGTTGGGCACCATGGTCTTGCTGCGGGAGCAGCAGCAATTGCACTTGCATCAGCTAAGCCCGCGGGGCCGGGCCTTGATGCGGACCCGGTGGCGTGGTATTGCTAGAAACCAGCGAGAAGGAGTGCGTGCTGACCAGGGCCAATGGCGAAGTACATCAATGCCCGGCCAAATGATGACTTGCCCCACAATGATTGCCTTTGGTGGCGACTTCGGTGGCGACGATGGCACGATGCTTGGTTCGTTGACGACGTGGTCCAAGTTGCCGGCCAGCGTCACGATGTGTCACGTCTGACGGGTTGTCAACCTTCTTCCCGTATGCGCAGCCTGCCGGCGAAGACATAGCTCTCCTGACATTGACCTCCTAGGAATGGTGCCATCGTCGCCACCGAAGTCGCCACCAAAGGCAATCGTTGTGGGGCAAGTCATCATTTGGCCGGGCATTGATGTACTTCGCCATTGGCCCTGGTCAGCACGCACTCCTTCTCGCTGGTTTCTAGCAATACCACGCCACCGGGTCCGCATCAAGGCCCGGCCCCTTGGGCTTAGCTGATGCAAGTGCAATTGCTGCTCCCGCAGCAAGACCATGGTGCCCACCGAAGATCTCCCCATGCTTCAGCTTGAGCGGGAGGCTTGCATCAGTGGATTTGTCACGGACATCACTGCATCACTTGTAGCGAAATCGGGTTGGCTTGACATGTCCTGGGGCTCCGGACCGCAAACTTCCGAGCTTGCACTGTGCCACCGGGGCTCCACCTCTTAGCGAGCAGTGCTTTAGTTCCGGATGCAATGTGAAGGGACAGATGGAGCTCAAGTTGGCACAGCCTCGCGCAAGAGCTAAGAAGGCTTCTTTCAGCTGGCGATCCTGACGAGGCTGTCGCAGGGTGCAGTTGGCATTTGCAAGCACAGGCGCTTCTTCTCTGGCCTCAGCATCGCTGACATCCACCCAGGCTTTCCGGAAGGGACATTTGTACCTGAGGCTTCCGAGCACGACAACAGTATTTATGACCAGACTCACTTCTGCCGAGATGCTGCCACCGACTCGATGCAGGAAATGCCATGTCTCTGTAGAACCGCGCTCCTGATTCCTTCTGTGGTGTTTGTCCGAAAGCGTTGGAAGAGGTGGAGATTGCTAAACGGCCGCATTGACTAGCGCAGGCAGCAATTCATGTATTTGGCTTAACCACTTGAGCTAGCGTACTTCGAGGTAGCGGAAACTTCTGGCTGGAGTCATAGATTCGGAATCTGGAAAAATCGCAAGAGCCAGCCAGGTCGCAACAGCGGTGGCACGAACAATAGCAATGTTGAATTCGTCGTCATCTCTCCCGGCAAGCCTGCAAGGTCTAGGACCTAGGACGGTGTTAAAGCAAGAGACCTTGGGCAAACGGGTCAGCCTTTGCCCCATTTTCGTAAAACTACACACAGCCATACTTCAGCATTTGCGACCAAAACGTTTATGAACTCGCTTGCCAAACACCGCGGCCACTGTTGACAGAGGTACCTCGGCCACGCTGCGCTCGCAAATTAGAGAAAGAAAGAAAGAATAGATCAAACAGCGAAAGCTGAAAATGAAACGGAGCTTGTCACAAAGGAAGAACCGCACACACACACACACACACAAACAGACACACAAACTTGCTGAAAGAAATGCAACGACAGGACAAGGAGGGGCCGATGCCGATAGTGCTGCACGTGCTGGCTCTCCCGTTCCGGCTGTCAAAAGAAGCTGTCGATGCAATGGCAAAAACGCAAAAACTCTCTTTCCTGGCGCTGCAAGAGTCTGGTTGCTCGGTTTCCCGAGTCTTATTCAGTGAGACAGGGGCAGGGGCAGGGCTAGCAGACAGCCCTGTCTCTGCTTCAGGTCGCCTTCTTCGCCTGCGGAAGGTCAGGCGATTCGACTCGCTTCCGCCACTGCGAGCCACTGCGAGCCACTGCCACTGCGAGCCTGAGGGTTCCTTGCTTTCTTCACGGAGTTGGGCCTTGGCCTGTGACCCGCGGCTCGCTTGGCGCGCCGAGAGTCCTGAGAGCGGCCAAGCGGCCCCCAAGCGGTGGCCGGTCCCTAAAAAAAAAGGCCTTCAGCACGGGTCTCCGCGATGTGTCGACGCCGTCTTCAGGGTCCGGCACAATGTCCTCATGGGTTCCAGCACGTGCGGAGATCTGCCCCTGCAAAACCTGCGGAGGCTGTAATGCTATGTAATGCGAGCAAGCTTCTGAAGGTGGTGCATCTTGCATTGGCTCCTGACAGCGACGAAATTGACGCAAAGAACGGAGTAGTTCATTCTTTATGTGCTGCGCTGCTGGGCCGCTGCTGGGCCGCTGAGCCTGGGCCTCGACCTGGCGCGTGCCTGTGGCCAGCCTCAGTCCAAACCCCTCACAAGTGAGAAGCTGTTCCTATAGCTGTCCCTACTGTAGCTGTTCTGGCCCTTGGTCTACGTGCCCTAGTCATAGTCATCACAGACTTGCAAAAATCCGGCTAGAGTGGAGACGAGCCTGATAGGATCACCGAAGCACGTGCTTTTTCACTGAGCCAGGGGCTCTCCAACAGATTCCACCACCTCGGGTCTGTTCACCTTCGTAGCGAGCAGCTCGGCCTGGGCCGAAAGATCTGCTGAGTCGACTGGAGCAACCCGATGCTGCTATCGCCTCGGCCACGGAGACTTTCTTGCCTGTCTTCGCCAGAACAGCGCCACCGCCTGCGAGCACCTCCAAGTACCGCTTCTCCGGTAACATGTTGAGCACTCTTCAATGACCGCGCTGTGCTTGGCCTCCATCTTCGGGTGGTTTTCCTTGATGATCTTGGTCAACATCTCTTTCTGCATGCACAAGGCGAGAGCAGTCATCGTTGGCTGCAGAGCCCGGTTTTACGGAGCCTCTTCGTTGGAGTATTTCCGACGGTTTCCCCGAAATACAGTGCCGGCCATGGGCAGGTTCTGTGCCCGGAAATCGACAGGCTTCATGACCTGCAACAGAGCTACTCCACTCCGTGGACGATTTTGGCATAAGACTGCAGGACTAGTCTGCACGTGGACCTCATGTTGTGGGAACACCGCATCGTCAGAGTCCGGGTACTTGAAGGCATTCTTTGGCCTATCCAGCATCGGGATATCATGAGGCTAACGTTCGTCAGAAACAAGCCGGGCCTCAGGAGTGTGAGCTGTTTGCCTTGTGCCACTTTCATCTGGGCGGAGCAAGTGCTATGCAGCAAGACACCATCAGGCAACAATGCCTTAAGTTGGTGGTCAAGCCGTATCTTGTGTTGGTCCGCGTTTGTCTAGTGTTGTTGCGTGCGTGTCCACGTGGTGTGGGAACGCGCATAGGATGAGCTATGCACCAAGAGTCGTCTCGAAACCACGTGCATTTTCGTCTACAGCTTCCAGCTCAACAGAGGCTACCTTCTTGTCCGGAAAATTCTGCACGCGGCGTTTGACAAGCATTCTGTGACAACATCTTCTACGCAAGAGCAAAGTTCCACAATGACCTGACTTGCTCAATCGGCGACATCGTCGCAGAGCTCTCCTGCCTGGCATGCTTTCCTAACCGGCCGCAGGAGGACCGAGGATAGAGCCCGACGTTGCAGTACCCTGTTCAGCGATCACACTCCTATTGCAGACAAACAGCATGTCTATATGTCACCGGCGTGATTTTCGAATCCAAGACGCAAGGATCTATGTGAATGAATCTAGTGGATATGCTTTAGCGCAGTTCATGAGAAGATCAAGCGATCAGGTTCGATTGAGCCCACCACGAGCTTGTCGTGCTTCTCTTCTTCGCGGGGCGTGACCTGAGTCCCGAAAAAGTATGCTCCAGTACGAGGGTGACTTCCTCGCTTGGAAGCTCAGGTAGGCACCAGCATGGCATCAACCCGCTGCCTGAATTCAAGGTTTCTGCACTTGCGTCGTCGTGAAAAAAAGGCCTGACCTCTTCACCGTCCGAAGGCGCTTCTTGATCTTGGACCGGATCGACCTCTGTAAACTCAAGGCAGGAGGACGGAGAGTCCGTCGGTTCAAGAGACGGCCCCCTTCTGAGGCCAAGCGCTTTCCCATCTCGTTCCAGCCCCAGCTCGATCCTGTCTGGAGCCGCTGCTGTAACCCCTCAAGGGCACCACAAACCCACGAAATGGTAGAGGTCTCTGCTGTCTGCGCTGAGCCCCACGCGAGATCGGCGGCCGAGGAGTCGAAGGCCGCGGCAGCTATGGCGGCGGCGCGGTATGCAACTGCCCTCGCTTCGTCAGGTCATCATGCGTCATGCAATTGCACTTACATTTTCCATGGCTACCTCAGCACGCGTCCAATGCATAGAGAAACTTATGTCGGTTCCGCTAGACTGCAGCTGCAAACAGGCTGATCAGATCTCAAGCCCATTGATGCTGCAAAGTCGTGAACTCCGGGTGAGAACAGATTCAGCCTTGGTTGTGGAAGCCGACTCCAGCCGAGCCATGACGCCCACTGCGGCGTTCTTTTTTTTACAGAAGCAGCACTCGCGTCTCAAGTGCATCTGCCGCGATCTCCCCGGTGAGAGATGCTGCTCGAACAAAATCGATGGCAGATTGAGCAATAGTGCTCCACTCGGCACCACGGATGGTATCACGAACCAGACACTGGAGCACTCCGTATAGGCTGCAGACACCACGTTCGGGTGCACTGAAAAACAAGGCCAGATGCCGTACGTTTTGAAGCTCTTCAATCAAGAAAGGTCCTGTAAAAATGTATGGAAGAAGCACACAGTCCCAACCACCGCTGAGGATTCGAACTGGCCCTGTTGTGTACACTGGCGTGTGACTCCGAATCCTGTTCAACAAATTGGCACGAGACCGCCATTTTTTAACTGCTTTGATCAGTACTTTGGCAAAGGCGGCGCTGCCGTGCATCCCAGCTCTGCGAGTTCTCGGCGAGTCTCAGTAGACTAAAATGACTAAAACACACTAAAATCCGTATAACGTCGCGCCTTTCTTTTCTCTTGCACAGCAGCTCTTGCACTGGCACAAGCCGTAGGCTTCTGAGAAAGCACTGGCAACGCAACGGCCGTCGTTACAGCTTAGATTGTTTGATTCATCGGGCCGTGCACATGTCAGTGCTAGTAACCATTCTAAATTCGCACCCTCCAAGCAAAAATGCTTGTGTAGAGTCTCACATGACATCAAAGGGCGCTCACCCTTACTCGTTGTTTGCTTTCTCCTCCTTTGTCCTTGCCAGCATCAAGTGCCACAGCGCCAGGATTTGAGTTCCCCCGCCTGACCTATGATTCCGGCCAGCCGGATGTGGGGACGAACTCCGGCGCCTGACGCAAGTCGGATGTAAACCAAATTCGACAGCCCTTGCCGCCGGACCATGCCAGGGGTCGGGGAATGGGGGCCTCAGCTCGCAGAGACGCAGCCGCAGCCAAAGAGGCAGCGGAAGCCTTGGCGCCCTTGGTGGTCTTCGTGACCTCACGACTGCGCTCCGCTCTCAGATGCTCTCAACATCCTATCGCACGCCGCGCATTCTTTCACTCCCCGTCCCGTCCTGCCCTCGCCCCGGGGCCTTCTTCTGCGCCTTCTTGCTGCTTGCTGCGGGTGCAGCCCGAGCCTGGGGAACAAGAGACGTCGCGCTCTGAACCGCCGCATACTGGGCGGCCTGGGCCGCGAGGGCGCTCTGAAGCGATGCCCCGCTGGCGGCCTCTCAGTATTCGGCTCCGGGCTCCTGAGGTTTCCTCTTTAAACCAGCTTTTTCTGGGGCCCTCTGCTCCTTGTTTCCTCATGCTGGAGAGAGTTTGAGGGCAGGCCCTCAGACACGTCTTTTCGGGGGCGTCTCTGTACAGAGATCCTCCGATGGCGGACTATTGCCCCACCGAGGATCCAGCCACTGCGCTGCGCGCTACATGCACTGCGATGGTCTGAGTGCCTCTGTAGCAGAGAGACCCTCTGTTCTCACACACCAGACCAGCTGGCGGCCAGCCTGAATTTATGAAATAGTGAATGAAAGTGAAGTGGCTACAGCCCATATCCGCGGCTTCAGCTGGAGAAGCTGGGAAAGCACCGCCCCCGCCGCACACAACCAAGTGCATCAGATGCGTGACTTTGCCGGACAGTCTGGCAAGAGCGATTGACTGCGTCGACCCAGCAATGTCGGCAACGTTGGAGGAGGCCTGCAGCTCTCATCAGAACTGTCAAAGCATCAAGCTGGCAGGAACCTACCGGAAACAAGATTGCGAGCCCTAAAGCCCTTAAAGCCCTGGCGACACCGTGATCCGCCCGAATCCCGAACCACTGCCGCAAGGACATCTCCTCCCTCCGAGTCACGAGGGTTCTTGTTCCAGGGCTGTCACAAGCGCTGCAAAGTGTCCTGAAAGAACAGGAGGCTACGCTCTCGTGTTTTGAAGGACGGGATCGGAAAGAGCCGCACAAATCCCTCCTTCGAAAGACATGTGGGCTTCGTCCAGGGCGGTCTTGATGCAGTGGCGTACGAAGCGATTCACTTCACCAAAGCCTCCTTCCAGCGATTGGACACCTGTCGCTAGTGCTTGCCTCTGCCGGCTCTGCGCAAGCCATGGAAAAAAAAACTAGACTGCAGCAGAAATATAGCAGACCAGGGGCAAGTGTCAATCATGATTTTGTCCTCAGGCTTCGACGCAGTGGCATCCTCCATCTTGATCTTGGAAAGGGTCCGCGCGAGTACCACCACCATGTCCACACTGGCATCTCCCTTTTGCAGCACGCCTGTTCGTGTCATGGGGATCCCGAAGGCCCCAACCCTGATACCCTGATACCGAGACCGCGAGAGACCCTCAACACTGTCCCGCCTGCAGGCGTACACATCAGGAGACCTGCGCTCGCAGCTTTGAAAGGATTTGGGGCAGGGCCCGTCCCGGCCGGGGGGCCTTCGTAGTCGCTCCGCTCGGCAGTGAGCTTGCAGTTTTGAAAGACCTCAAACGAGGAAGGCGAGCGGTGAACGCGGACTACACGGACGCGGCACTGAAATGTCGCCAGTCGTCGGACGTCGCCTCGCCTCAAAAAGGCACCACGACCTTCTCAGGGCCTCCGCGTTCTCATCCAAGACCATCGCGGTTCCTGGCGCCGCTGCAGCGAAGACTGCCCTTTCTCCTCTGTGAGGCCGGGACCTTTGCACGTCGGGCTCCACAACGCCTCCAGGACAGCGGCTGAAGTTGGCAAGAGCTACGGTGCTGCAGTGGAGCTCCTTCTTCTCTGCTGGCCTGATTGAAGGATGAAGCCATTGGGTCACCTTTCCCAAGCTCTTCATCCAATTGCCACTGGTTGTTGCTGAAGGAGCAGATCCAGTAAGAAACCTCAAGAGCTAGGCAGCTAGACTGTGGCCACAGCGGTTCACAGTGGCTGACTGCCAATTCCTGCCAGGCGACTTCGCGCCAGAGCGGCTCCTGCGCCGCCTCCTGCGCTGTATGGGAAGGTTCGGCCAGGCTCATGGCCAGCCGACGCAAGCTCTCGACGAGGTCCGCAAAGCCATTGCTCCAGCAGTGCGAGACAAACCTTATGGGCAGGATTGTCCTGTGCACACCGCCGTGCGCAAGACTCACTTCGTCAATATTGCAATATCCATATCCCCTCATACACACACACACACACTTCTCACGACATAAGCGAGCAGGCTGTGCCTTGAATGAAGAAGTGCGAAGTCGAGGCAAGCTTCGAGGAGCAACCGGGAGTGACTCTTACCACACTTTGACGTGATTGGTGTGCGAAAAAGAGACGACAGGTCCTGCGACAGATGCAGATCAAGGAGTCGGCACAGAAGGCTGAGACATCAATAGCAATAAGACCCGGGACACAAAGCAGCGTGGACCAATGAAACAATGAGCGCGAAGTCTGCAGTGCACAGAAAAACTTAAATAGCCTCTCATTCTTGCTTCCATAGGAACCAGTTTACAGGACTCGGCCCTGCTAGCTCCGCGTAGGACATCCTCTCTTGCTTCGTCAAAGGCAGCAACAGGTTGGACACGACATAGCTCCTGGGCTCCAGAGCTGAACTCAAGCCACTTTTTGAAACTTCCTTTTGACCCCCTTTAACGTCTATGAAAACTAGGACTGGGACGAGTGACATGTTGCGCTTTCCGATGGCTTCCTGGAAGTAGGTGTGAAAATCACAGAGTTTCCCGGCATCAATGGCTCTGCTTGGACCCCTGTCGCTGGTGACCGGCTTGTGTCTTTGAAGCCTCAGACTTGTGGAAACATCGCAGGTCAGGCACAGGTTGCAGAGTTCCTGGCAAGGCGCAGCTTTTCGCGCCATTGGTTTCGCTTCCGTGCCAGCGGTGTCTCGAAGCCCTGTCTCCACCAGTACCAGTAGCCTCCTAGTGCCAAGCCCAGTGCCAAGAAGAGGACCGCCAATACGTAGGGCAAAACTTCTGCCTCGGCATCAGCGTTCTCGCTGAGGACGAAGATCAAGACCCCCAGGCAGCCGCAGAGCCATATGAAAAACAGCCCCGCCGGCAACCTTCCGATCACAGCACCCAAGAAGGTGCTCCTGAAAAGGGCAGTTTGACTACAAATGCCACAAGTTCCAAGGAAAGATGCATTGCATGTCGGATATGTCGGCGTCCTCATCTGCAATCTCAGGCTCCCTCGGGAACAGTTGATGTTGTCAGTCACATGGGCTCCCTTTGAGTCCATCCTTGGCTGGCATGAACAGGCATGGGCAGTAGCACTTTCGCATCTCTGATCCGTCGACGTCGAGTCAAAGGCACAGCCACACCTCGTCGGGCCACCGCACTTTCGCTTGAAACACGCCCATCCTGCTTTCAACCTCAGATGGCAAAAAAAGACAATGTCACAGAATCCACCCCCTTGAACCCCAAATTTAGCAAAAGGGGAGCCTCCGGATGCTGGGTGTGCTTGAGCTGGATGTGCAGCGGGACAGGGCTCCAGCGCGCGATCCGGTGTCCTCCCCAGGTCTTCACCACCACACAGCCGTCCTCCATGTAGATGTCGTCGATCGGAAGGGGACGGCCAAGCAGCAACGGCAAGAGCAGGGCCAGACCAACGAAGAAAAAAACCAAGAGCAAGTTCAACAAGAGAATGGAGCCCTTGCGAGTGCAGGCCCTGATGCTGGTGCTCTCCTCTATTGACGTGAAGCCAGTCGGACAAGGCTCGCATGTCGGGCCACTTTGGTAGGTAGCCGGAGGACAAGAATGGCACCACGAAGTGCCCAAGGGCGCACGTCCCATCGGGCACTCTATACACTCAGACAATCCCGTTTGCTGTGCAACTGTACCAACGGTGCATTGCCGACAGGAGGTGCTGCCGATGGCCTCCGAGAAGTGTCCGGCCACACAGGCTTTACACTCCAAGCTGACAGACCGCTCGTCGGCATAGCGCCCGCGCGGGCATTTGATGCATCCCAAGCCAAAGTCCTCAAAAGTCTCCTGGTAGAAAAAGCCTTCCGGACAACCCTGTAGGCCATCCTTGGCAGTAGCAGAGTCCCTTTCTTACCACAGCCTTCCAAGAAGCTGGAGTACACTGAGTACTGACATGAAAGGAGACTTTGAAGGCTGCTGTCAACAAACCCACCGCTGAAGCCAGGCCAGGCAGCCACTTTGTAATCTTGCTGACAAGAAGAATAAAACTCTGTCATAGTGTGTCTCTGAAGCTGATGATGGTGGCGACGAGCAGGGGCAGGAAGAGGAGGAGGAGGAGGCGGAGCGGAGGAGGAGGAGGAGGAGTGGATGGAGTATGGAGGAGGAGGAGAAGGACCCTTAGAATGGGCTTTGTTCAACAGTCTGCACAGACTGTGGGCAGCTCCCCATCCTGTCTGCATGCAAGCGTCCCTTGGGTTTTTGCAGCGCGGGTCCGTGCGCCACTTCGACTGATTGCACGGTCGAAGGACCTTCAAGGGCCGCCAACGAGACTGTGAATGGTTTACAGGATCAACATCTCAACAAACGTCGTTTCCGTCTTTGTGTACTCAATACGGACGTCTGCACTCACATGCGAGGCGGCTTTAGATACGAGTACCTGTGCTCTTCGAATGGGTTTCGAGTGAAAACTCTCCCGGCTTGGACTACTCTCGGGCCTTTCTCTGCTTCCGGTTTACGCCGGCCTGCCTCGTCCACGATGCTGCAGGCTTCTCGCAAAGATTCTGCTGGCGTAACATTTCCATAGATGCTCCGCAGGAGCGCGATGCGGATCGGCTTCAAGGATTCCACTTCAGCGTACTGGGGAATCGGCGAGTTCGGATACTGGCTTGGAATGCCGTGCAACAGGGCAGTTATCACCGGCTCCCAGAAAGAAGTCCCGAAAGACGAGAGGTCCTTCAAAGGTGGGAGTGTCTGCACATCCCTGAGCGTGTTGGCCTGACGCATGTAGGGCTTCTCCAGATCGATAAGTTCCGAAATGAGGCGCCATCCTTCTGCATTCTCCCAACACGGTGGAGGTTCATCATCGTTCCGAAGCCAGTCATACTCCCACAAGGCAGTGATGTTTGGACAAGACTGGTTCGCTTCTCCTCCCCTCTCTCGCATGGTGAGTGCCAAGCCGCTTCCACCCTGATAGGTCAGGTTTTCGGGCATCGTGGCATACAAGATCTCGCTACAATGCTTGGAGACGATCTCCCAGCGAGGATGCGCTGATGCCCAAGAGGCCACCTGGCCGGCACTCTTGCAGCGGAGCACCTCACAGGCGGCCTTTTCACTGCCCTCAGTCTTCAAGGTCTTCGCGTAGGCATAGGTGTCGGCACCGAGGCGGAAGGCGCGTTGCTGGCAGGAGTCCGGGCCTCCACGGCCGTGAAAACTCTGAAGCCGAACACAGGAAGGACCAAACTGCTTAGTCACCTGTTAAACAACTCAATTCATAAAGGGTGCTCAGATGCAGCGTCTCAAGCGCACTGCAGTTGCCCACCGCTTCCCGTTGTCGCAGCTGCGATGGCATGCATCGTCCATAGGAGAGTTCCTCCTCAAGTCCCGGCGATATAAAGAAACCCAAGGTGCGAGCATCGGTGTAGTTGTAATTGGAGAAACCGGACACGTCGGGTGGGTGTACTGGATCCACTGCATTCTCGAGAACTGGTGTCAGGTTGGAGGTCCCAGTGATGCCCCAATAGTTCTGATTGCCAGAACTCCGCAGGCAGCCTCGGTTAAGCAGACACAGACGGCAACAAGTTTAGCGGATGTGTGCTTCTTGACAACAACTTGACTTGGGGAGTTCTCTGTTTCCTCTGGCAACCTCTCTGGATCATCGGCTTCCAGAACGTGTCGATTGCCGACCTTCCCGTCCCCAGGTTGCATTGCCGGGAAGGCCCATCGGAACCAAGGTAGGTTCGAAAGAGAGCCCCATGAGCTGCTTGAACCATAAGCATGAAGAGCTTGGCATCCTCGTCCCAGTCAGAATTCGCCATTAGACCTTCAGGGTGACAAAAACTCGTGTCTGTGTGCAGCACTGTGCACATCTCGCTTTCTACCTCCAACACCGTACTTCTCGGTGATCGCGCAGGCCGTGTCACGGAGGTTCTCCCACGTCCAATCGTATCGACCGTGTGGCGGTGGAAGCTCCAGGCCCAGGTTTTCCAGCGTAGTCTTATTGAAGCCCAGCAGCCGAACATCCGTCACGAAGGGAATTCCCATGAAGCGGGAGGTCAAGTAGTAGTCGTAGTACATTATGCTCTGAAACTCATCTGGCAAGCGTTGCAGGTGCTTCAGCAGATATGCCGCCAAATAGTCGTCGAGAGGATGGATCCGACCAGATGCAACTCGCCTGCGGGGGGGGGGGGGTATGCCAAGGGCCAAGGCACAAAAAAGCTGAGACAAAGAAACGGTTCATGCTTAGACTCGTGCTCGTGCCGATCCAAGAGTCTGCGGAAGCTGACTCGTTCCAATCAGCAGTGCAACTGGGCATACGGCTCCTTCTTCGCAAATCGGATCCGTCACAATCCTCTCCCAGCCGACGTTGGATACGTTCACGACCACGCGGTGCAAGTGCCGGTGGTACAAACCGTACAAGGCACCTCGCAGGTTCGCTCCCACGGCTGCGTCAGCCGCTGTCTCTGAGAAAGGCTGCCACACGTGCCTCAAGTAAACAGAAAGAGACCCGAGCCGGAAAGGCAACAAGCTGCTCCTACTGCTACTTCTACTGCTCCTGCTTCTACCTCTACTACTACTACTACTACTACTACTACTACTACTACTACTACGACTACGACTACGACTACTACTACTACTACTACTACTACTACTACTACTACTACTACTACTACCTACTCCTACTACCTACTA